GATTGTGCGTCTCTTCTTGTATGTGATATTCCGAGGTCTTCAAGCAACTGCTGGTGATGGAATAAAGTAAAAGGCAGATGGGAATCCATGTGCACAGTGATTAAAGAACTCAAAAGAGAGCGTAAGTAACCTTATTACAGAGCAATAAAACCGCCGGATGCCACAGCCAATTAGAGCTGTCCTGGCGCGTGGTTTTGATTTTTTCTAGACTCTAGATGCCACAGAAAGCGAACTAGACTGTGACTGAATGGTTCTTAAAAAATTGTACGTTCTAATTAAGCACCAATGGAAGATAAGCCCATCTCAGCCTGGTACCTTGCCAGTGCTAAAGATGTTTTTGCTGTGTGTGATGAAAGCTATAAACAGTTGCTGGTATGGAGCCCTGGAAAAACCCACAGTTTATTCAGTTCCTTTTCTGACCCCAGGCAGGATTACTCTGGCTGTTTAGTCCTGAAGGCTGCTGTGTGAGGCACCACCTCTGATCACCCAGGGTGACGGTAGGTGGAGGGGAAGCTCAGTCCCAGCAGAGCTGCCCATCTCCAAGGAGAAACAGGAAGGTGCCAGGAGCAGGATCCCTCCCCCTGGGAGCCAGGACGGTGACACAGGAGGGGACTTCTAGTGGGTTGCCCGGCTCCTTCCCTTCTGACCACTGCAGCCTGGCACCCACTCACCTGCAACTCCTGAAATGGTGCTTCCAGGAGTTCTCAAACACCTGCCAGTTGGCAAACCCAAGGGTCAGGTTCCAGACTCGCTCCCTCGAAGGCAGCCCTGCTGAGCACACCCTCTGAGAGCGACTCCTTGTGCTCCCACTACCGGCTGCTCTGTAAACGAGACAGTGAAAAGCGGAGCTAAGCACCTGCCTTTGGAATTCGAGCCCTGCTGTTTGAACCCTGGCCTTACTGTGTGTGGCCATGGGCAAGTTCCTTATCTTCGCATGGCTTCAGTGTGCCCATCCTTACAACACAGATGAACATAGCACTTATCACATAGGGCAGCTGCAGAGAGGGCATCCCTGTAAAATCCTGTCTGCCTAGCACATGGTAAACGCTCAGTAAATGTTCATTTCTTCACCTGTAAAATGGAGACTAAAATGAGTCTACTTCAGAGAGCTGTTAGGAAGAGTAAACAAGTCAATACACTGTACATATATAGAGCTTTGACCAGAGCCTGACGTGGTGTTGTCAGTGCTAGGAACAGGTTGGCTATCGCTCTTACTATGAGCGACTTCCAGTTCCAACGTCTTGCCCCGGCTTCTACTGATTGTGGCTGCCCAGGTGTCCCTTTTACTTTAACCTAGACATGTTCAAGACTGCACGGCCCTCCTTCTCCTGGCCCCTGACACCACTCAGTCTTTTTCTTTGTATTTTCCTGTCTACTCATGGACTGTGGAATTAAGAAGACTCGAACTTCAATCGCGGCTTAGTCCGTGCAGGTATGACCTTGGGCAAGTTAGTTAACTTAAGCTTCTTACGTCTGTCTCTGTTTTCTCAGCTACAAAATGGGCAGGATCCAAGTGAAACTGGATTTTCTTGTTCCCGCTTTCAAAACCATCATAGTGTGACATTAACCCGCATTTTTTACACATGCAGAAGTGTGTTGTTATGACTTACATAATTGGGGTCTTGCTATCTGCATTGTTCGCAACTTACACCCTCATTTAACAATATTGACATTCTTGGAGATCTTTTCTTGATAGATTTCTTTTAAACTACTTCATTGGGGCCGGTGCTGTGGGTGCAGGATTGAGTCCCGGCTGCTCCACTTCCACTCCAGCTCTCTGCTGTGGCCTGGGAAAGCAGTAGAAGATGGCCCAAGTCCTTGGGCCCCTGCACCCACATGGGAGACCTGGAATCCTGGCTTCGGATTGGTGCGATTCTGGCCGTTGTGGCCATCTGGGGAGTGAACCAGCAGACAGAAGACCTCTCTCTCTCTCTCTCTCTCTCTCTGCCTCTGTCTCTCTGTAACTCTGCCTTTCAAATAAATAAGTGAATCTTAAAAAAAAAACCTACTCTGTTTTAAAAAATGATGGCTAGTAATTATGCAGCTGCTACTGAGTGCCAAGGGACTGTGTTAAGCACATGCAATATACCACCTCAGTTACTGCTAAAGATAGCCACACAAGGCACACGCTGACGCTCTCATATACTATCTCAGTTACTCCTGATGATAGCCACACAAGGTGCACACTGGCATTCTCATTTCACAGGTGAGCGAACCAGTGGGCGTAGAAGTTGCCCAAAGTTGCAGAGCAAGTGCTAGAGCTTACACTGGAACCCAAACAGTCTATTCCACAGCTTAACCATTGCATACATCATGGGCATGCTCTCACAAAATGGACACTTTGCTGACGGTTTTCATGAGAAGAGGTATCGCATCACACAAAAATACTAAAAGACTAAAAATTATTTAAAAAAAAAAAGATTTATCTACTTGAAAGGCAGAGCAACAGCGGGAGGGATAGATCTTCCATCCACTGATTCACTCCCCCACGTGCCTGCAACAGCCAGGGCTAAGCCAGACTAAAGCCAGGAGCCTGGAACTCCATGTGGGTCCCCATGTCGGTGGCAGGGCCCAAGCACATGGGCCATCATCTGCTGCCTTCCCAGGTGCATTAGCAGGGAGCTGAATCCCAAGTACGGAGCAGCCAGGACTCAAACCAAGCACTCTGATATGGCATGTCGCATCCCAAACAGCAGTTTAACCTGCTGCACCACAATGCCAACCCCTAAAAATTCTTCATACTCAGCCCTGTGTCCCCAAAGTTCAGAATTCCATTACAGTTACTAACTTCTTCTCTTTCTCCTCTCTGCTCAAACACTGCCAGTCCATGACTCTCTTTCCTCTTTCATATCCTGCATCCTAAATAATTTCTTCTAGGTGTAACTCTAGGAATGTCCTTATTAGCAAACCAATACCTTCTTGTTGACTTCTGTTTTCATCCCCCTCCTGCACCCTGCTGATAAAACACAGCCATTTTCCCTGGGATCCTCTCTAATTTTCTTTTCAGATTCATTTATTTATTTGAAAGGCAGGAGGTGGGGAAGAGATAAAGAGAGAGAGAGAGAATATTCTCCATCTGCTGGTTCACTCTTCAAGGGCCTGCAATACCCAAAGCCAGGCCAGACTGAAGCCAAGAGCCAGAAACTCCATCCTGGTCTCCCACATCAGTGGCAGGGGCCCAAGCACTTGGGCCATCCTCCGCTGCTTTCCAGGTGCATTATAAGGAAGCTGGACCAGAAGCAGAGCAGCCAGGACACAAACCAGCACTCTGGTATGGGATGCCAGCATCATAAGCGGCAGTTTAATGGCTGCAGGAGAACACAGCCCCCTCCCACCCTCTCATGTGACAGTCACTCAACAGTCTTGTATTGGGCAACATTTACATGCAGCCACTATTCCAGATAGTGGAGATACAACAAGTAAGCCAATGAAACAGGAGTCCCTGTCTTCAGGAAGTTCAGAACATGTTGGTGGAGGGAGAAAGACAATAGATGGGGAAAGTGAATAAAACAGACACGGTGCTAAATGGTAATAAACAGTGAAGGGACCAGCAAAGCAGGGAAGTGGTACTGAGAGTGTGGGGTAGGATTGTGATCCTGGGGAGGCCACCCGAGGAGGATTCTCTGGGGGTGGGGAGGATCTCTGAGACTGAGCTGGACAAGGCGGGCTCCAGGGTCAACGCTTGTTGGGAAGGAGAAGAAGTATGAGTGTGTGAAGGAAGTATTGGGCTTGGGTACCACTACAGCAGAGTTCCAGCACCCCCCGCCCCACTCGGGGCACTCTAAAGATGGGATGGCCCTATGGAATTATCCCAAGTTGGAGCAATGACCAGGGACTGAACACTGGTTGCCCAGAAAAGGAGGAGTGACTGTAGGCCAGGAGACCGTCTTCCCCTGGGGAGAATTCCATTAGGCTGAGCTGACCACCTCCCCAGCAGCAAGGGTAGAAGTCAGCAAATCCTGCAAGGGGGTCTGACCAGAGAGAAAGGACTCCAGGCGGCTATCTGGAAGAAGAGCAAGGGCAACGGCCCTGAGGGAATGCAGGAAGCCGAAAAACTAGTGTAGCTGCAGCCCAGGAAACCCAAGGGACAGCAGGAGGAAATGAAGTCAGACCAGATCATTGTGAGCTTGGGGCTTTGGCCAAGAAGCAACATGACTTAAGTTTTATATTTAAATACTGACAGGACTCCGAGCTGCTGGGTTCAGAGTAGGCTCGGCAAGAAAGGAGTTTTTAAAGGCAGAAGTAGGAACCCGGGGTGACTCTGCACTGTGGGGCTGAATCCTTGCTGAGGGCCACAATCCTGCCCACTCAGGCTTCCTGAGTGAGGCGCTGGCGCGGCCATGCGGCGTCTGGACCGAGCGGCCGGTGGGCTGGCGCTGGACTCCAGGGCTCGGAGCCTGCCCCGTGTAGGGTGAGAGACGGGGAGGCGTCGACGGGTTCAGCTGTCAGAGCTCTTCCGTTTGCTGGGCTTGGCAAGGATGCTGTGCGGACTCGGCCACCAGTTAGTTCTGAACAGGAAAGCCTGAACTGATTGGAAAACAATGACGATGTTAGCCCGTCTCTGGTTTGTCTTCCTCCTGTTGACAGTTTACTTCCCGTTAATTACTTGTGTTGTCCTCTTCCCGCGACTTCTTGTTACACGTGTGTGCCGTCGTGCCCAGAACCCAGCAGCTTCTTGGGTCCGGGTTACTGTAACATTCTGCCTTCCCTCCGCCCTCGCCCTGCAACCGCCGCCTCGCAACCAGCGCGGCCCCATTAACATGGAAATCACGTCATGTCCCCGCCATGTCCACTCCCAAAGCGGCCGACGGCCACACACAGCGTCCCTCGTCCTCGGCTTCTAACCATGAAGAGTTTCGTCTGCCAAGGGAAAGCTCTCACGGGCTCTACAGACAAGGCCCTGCGGAGCCTCCAGGGCGGGGGGCTTTCCGTCACGAAAACCCGCACCCCTCGAGCCCTCGCGCGGGGCCCTCAAGCCCCTCGCCGGCCGCCCGCCGGGGACTGCATTTCCCAGGATGCCGCGGGGCGGCGCCGGCCGGAAGGCTGTGCGCCCTGCGCGGGGCATGATGGGGGAGCTGGAGATTTCCATCATGGCGGCTTCCATTTCGGGCTACACCTTCAGCGCTGTGTGTTTCCACAGCGCCAACAGCAACGCGGACCACGTAGGTGCCGGGCCCCCTGCCGCGGCCGCTGGGGGCCTTCAGCCTCCGCCTCGGGCCGGCGCCCGCGGCCAACCAGGGGCCGCTCGCGGCTCGCCCCTCGGGCTCCGGGGCGGGCCGGAGGGGCTGGTGACCCGGGCGGCTGCCGCCCCCCGATCAGCTCCTGCCGCCGACTGGGGCTCCTCCACCCCCGGGCCGGGCCCCCTCGCTCGGTGCCCACCCTCAGCCCGGCCGTCCCGGGGACAGCCGTCTCCGGTCCCCCAAGTCTGTCCCGGCCGGCCGGCCGCTGTGTCAGGAGTCGCTTGGTGGACTCCGGGCGCCTGCCCCTCCCCGAGAGTCTGGCTTCTGCATCTTTGAGGGGCGCCGGGGGTCGGGAAAGAGGGGAGACACCCAGCTCCGCCCGCCGGCCTCACAGGTCTCGGGGGGTGCTGTCCGGACTCGTGCTCGTTGTGCGCTTTCACACACAGAGAGGCGTAAACAGGAGCGCCAGGGGCAGGGTCTGCGTCTCCTTCCAGTTGCGCGTTTAGTTCGTTGCGAATGTTCGGCAACTACAGGACGTTCTCGGCGAAACCGGGTTCGAGTCAGGCCCGCGTCTGAGCGATCAGAGAGGCGTGGGCTTTGGCGCCCCGAGGGGGAGCAGAGCCTGTCCGTGTCCGAGTCTTTATTTTATGGGTTGTCTTTCAGTGTCGCTGGCCTCCACTTGGCAGTTCTTTGAGAAACTAGGTAATTTCGCTTGATCAGGAGGTCTTCAGCTCGCCCGCCAAACTGGGGGGATTGTTTGAAGTGACCCGAATAGTGGACGATTAAAATCCGTGAAGTACGTGTGTGGGGCTCTTTCCGTGGTTGTCATTACAAAGCAAAATGGTCACACCGCTGGAGGAGCTGGGCTTGGTTTGCTGTCAGCATTCTTAGCCTCCATTAATAAAAACTGACCTCGCAGAGAGATGGTTCCAGCTGCAAACTGAGTGGAAATAAGCTAGCGTGCCTTTCATCTGTCAGCGTTGGTAGTAGACGTTGGTGATGGGCGTACGCAGAGCCTGGGTTTTCCCAGAGCGACGCTGGACACTGGCCTTTGCTACCGCTCTTGGCCAGCTGTTCAATGCAGGGCGGTCCGCGTGCTGGCGGTTTGTGATACTCGTACTGCCCCTGGACTGTAACATGAGTTCAGTGATGCTGTTGAAAAATGGATAGTTTCATTTGTTTTTAAAAATTTATTTATGTATTTGAAAGAGTTCACAGAGAGAGGGAGAGACTGAGATCTTCCATCCTCTGGTTCACTCCCCAAATGGCCATGTCCAGGCCTCCCACGTGGGTGCAGGGGCCCAAGCACTTGGGCCGTTTTCCGCTGCTTTTCCAGGTGCATTAGCAGGGGGCTGGATCGGAAGTGGGGCAACCAGGATACAAACCGGCACTCGTGTGGGATGCTGGTGGCAGCTTAATCCACTGAGCTACAGCACTGGCTCTGAAAAGTGGATAGCTTTTCTATGACTGTAGCGGAATGATTGTTACTTAGATCGGATTATCATTTTACGAACTACCCCCTTAATATCTACCCTGTTCCCAGCATGGTGCTGGAGTTGATGTAAATTTTTACCAGTGCCAGTGTTTTGCAACTGTGTTTTATCGGACCCTCCTGCTTATATTACCCTTGCTGCATTTACAGATAAAGAATACTTGAAAATAGTTTTAAAGTTGAAGAAGCCAGAATTTACTTTTGTAGTGCAAGCTTCTTATGTCCAGGCAAGAAATTAATTTTTAGATCATTAATTATTCTTGAGAGCTGAAATTAACAAACTTTTTCTATAAAGAGCTGGGCTAGCATGCGTTTTTAAGTTTTGTGAGCCAGGTGGGTCTCCAGAGCAACTACCCAACCCTGCTGTTGCAGCGAGGACGTAGCCCCAGGTAATACATCCTTGAGGGTGACTGTGTTCCGATAAAGCTGTGTTTAGACATTGAGAGTTGAGTTTCCTGTAATTCACACATTTCGTGAAATACACCTGCTTTTTAAAATAAAAATAAATATTATTTCAAGCGGTATCCATGCCCTAAATATTTCTTGAATTAAGAATTAACAATATAAATATTATATTAACAATATAAATAACAGGTCACCTCACTGTAGTTAGTAGAACAACTATTTTTGTAGCTGCTTAGTCTTTCTCTCCTTTTATTTATTTGAAAGACAGAGTTACAGAGAGAGGTAGAGACAGAGAGAGAGGTCTTCCATTTGCTCGTTCACGCCCTAGACGGCCACAACAGCCACAACTGAGCAGACCTGAAGCCAGGAGCCAGGATCTTCTTCCAGGTCTCCCATGTGGGTGGCAGGGGCCCAAGCACTTGGGTCATCTTCTACTGCTTTCCCAGGCCATTAGCAGGGAGCTGGGTTGGAAGAGGAGCAGCTGGGACTAGAACTCGGTGCCCGTATGGGATGCTGGTGCTTCAGGCCAGGCCATTAACCCTGCTGCACCAGCGTGCTGGCCCCACTGCTTAGTCTTACAATAACCTTACCATATACAGAAGCTTGATGTTGTGTAGAAAACCCAGTCTTAGTTGACAGGCGCTGGACTGCACCTAGCCCCCACACCATAGTGCGTCTACTCCTGTTCCAAGTAGCAGTGGCTCAGATCCTCCAGACCACCTGATGATTAAACAGTCATTTTGCACTTGGCTTTAAAATGTCTTGATGTTGCTGTTGATTTATATCATTGTCTCTCAGACTGAGTGGTGTCGTAGGGTGTTGCCAGATGAGATACAGGGCATCCAGTTCAATTTGAACTTGAGAGAGCTAGCAAATGATTTTTTAGTTGTTAAGTATATTCCTAAAACTTACATAAAAATTACTTTGTTGTTTATCTGAAATGCAGGTTGAACTGGTGTTCTGTTGCCTTTTGTGCTGAATCTGACAGTCCTAGACTGTGCAATACCGGGAGTCTCTAGCTGTGTTCTCAAGGTCTGATGCTCCGTGGGAATACTAAATTGTTTTGTTCTTAGTGTAGTTTAAAAGTTTTTTTTTTTTCCTGCTTGTTACAAGACAGACCTTTTCTAATGAGGACTCGTCATGCAAAGGCTTTCACAGGGTAAGACAAGCTTGTTTAGTCAGTGTTTTTCAAGCTGGTAGTCTTGGACGCTCTTTTGGGACGCAGTTTTTGTTTGTTTGTTTAGGGAATCTGTATCTTGCTGCTTTGGGAAATGACCTACACTTGACGATTTGGGATTTTAGGCCCTCTTTCCAGATCAAATGCAGAGCTAGATTGTGAAGTGGCCTTCTCTCTCCCTTCAGCCTTGCAGAATTTGGAAACTTTTTCATGTTTTAATTATTCTCATTTTATTTGAAAGGCAGAGACGGAGTCAGAGAGAGCCTCCCTCCGCTGGTTCACTCCCCACATATCTGCAACAGCCGCAGGAGGGGGAGGCCGTAGCCAGGAGCCCAGAATTCAGTCCACCCAACGTGGGTGGCAGGAGCTCAAGCACGTGCTGCCTCCCAGGGCACGCGTCAGCAGGAAGCTTGATCAGAAGCAAAAGAAGCCAGGACGCAGACGAGGCGCGCTGACAGGGGACGCAGACGTGCTAAGCAGGGATTCCACTGATGCACCCAGTGCTCACTCCTGGAGACATTTTTATGTTTTTAAGCGATTTCATGTATTTGAAAGGCAGAGTTAGAGAGAGAGAGAGGTCCTTCATCTGCTGGTTCACTCTCCAAATGGCCACAACGGCCAGCACTGGGTCAGGCTGAAATCAGGAACCAGGAGTACCTTCCAGGTCTCCCATGTAGGTATCGGGGCCCAAAGATTTGGGCCATTCTGTGCTGCTTTCCAAGGTGCATTAGCAGGGAGCTGGATCAGAAGTGGAGCAGCCAGAACTTGAACTGGCGCCCATATGGGATGCTGGTGCTGCTGGCAACAGCTTAACTCGCTACACCACAATGCTGGCCTCTTTGGAAAGTTTTTCTAAACTAGGAAGCTTTTTTAGCTGATTTGACAAATCAGCCCAAAATAGAAGGGTGTGTAGTCCAAAGGCATTGTTTCAACAAATTGTTCAACTGGTGTTTCTTTTTTTCTTTTTTTTTTTTTAGCCAGTATTTATTGACTGCTGCTACAGTGTGTGTTCGGCACGGAGCTTGAGGGCTGAGCGCATCCAGCAGTGAGGAAGCACAGAATCTCTGCCATCACGAAGCTTACATGTTAGCAGGGTGTAGGCACTTACTTTTCTATATAAATCTGTAATGCAGTAGCTAGGGAGAGGCTTAAGAGGAAAAATGATGCAGAGGACACAGTGCCTGGGGCCAGAGTGCCTAGCAGGTGCTGTTTGCATTATGTTGGTCCGGCAAGGCATCTGTGGCAAGGTGCTATTTGAATAGAGACCTCAGGAAGGGAACCTGGCCTTCTGTGTTAACTCCTTTACCCCTTCATCATTAGCAATGTTTTATAAACAGTGGGACACATTCTATGTCAAGAAAGCAGCCTTGGGACATTTCTGCTTCCTGAGCACTTGACATTGCCTATGAGACGTAGTAGGACTGAGGTGATGAATTCTAAAGGCAGGAAAGATGGGTCAGCGCTGTGGCGCAGTAGGGACAGCTGCCTCCTCAGTGCCCGCATCCCATGTGGGTGCTTCTTGGAGTCTCAGCTGCTCCACTTCTGATCCAGCTCCCTGCTAATGTGCCTGGGAAAGCAGCGGAAGACAGCCCAAGTGCTTGGACCCCTGCACCCACATGGGCGACCCAGAGGAAGCCCCTGGCTTTCTGGCTTTGGACTGGCCCAGCTCTAGCCATTGTGGGGGTCAACATATTATTTTATCTTACTACAGAATCCTTTATTCAAACACTGTAGTTAACAGGTTGCTTTAGTCTACTTGTGTGTTTATAGAATAGTAGTTTATACTGATAAGCTTATTTGGAGTACTGTTAAAATTATTGTAAATAATAACAATAATCAGGCCGGCGCCGCGGCTCACTAGGCTAATCCTCCGCCTAGCGGCGCCGGCACACCGGGTTCTAGTCCCGGTCGGGGCGCCGGATTCTGTCCCGGTTGCCCCTCTTCCAGGCCAGCTCTCTGCTGTGGCCAGGGAGTGCAGTGGAGGATGGCCCAGGTGCTTGGGCCCTGCACCCCATGGGAGACCAGGAAAAGCACCTGGCTCCTGGCTCCTGCCATCGGATCAGCGCGTGCGCCGGCCCGCAGCGCGCCGGCCGGCGGCGGCCCATTTGGAAGGGTGAACCAACGGCAAAAGGAAGACCTTTCTCTCTGTCTCTCTCTCTCACTGTCCACTCTGCCTGTCAAAAAAAAAAAAATAATAATAATAACAATAATCAATATTCCTAACGTCTCCTAATTTCAGTAAAAATTACCTTTATTTTTAGTCTGCAACTATTTTCCTTTCAGGAAGGATTTTTGCTGGGAGAGGTAAGACAAGAAGAAACCTTCAGCATCAGTGACTCACAGATCAGCAACACAGAGTTTCTGCAGATAATTGGTAAGTTGTTACCTTAGAGGTGTCCTTTTAATATATGTACTTACTATTTGTTTTGTTCCATGCTTCTTAGCTGATTTTAAAGGATTACAAGTGCATAGATAGAATGATCTGCACCAACGAATGATAAGAGATTTGTTTTTAAAGTCAGTGTGAACTTACAGTGCCCAGCTGGGAGGGTGGCTGTTCTGTGAAGCCCCTCGCCCGCCAGCTGTGAGGGTGGCTGTTCCTGGAGCCCGCTCGCCCACCAGCTGGGAGGGTGGCTGTTCAGTGAAGCCCCTCGCCCACCAGCTGTGAGGGTGGCTGTTGCGTGAAGCCCCTCGCCCACCAGCTGTGAGGGTGGCTGTTCAGTGAAGCCCCTCGCCCACCAGCTGGGAGGGTGGCTGTTCCGTGAAGCCCCTCGCCCACCAGCTGTGAGGATGGCTGTTCCGTGAAGCCCCTCGCCCACCAGCTGGGAGGGTGGCTGTTGCGTGAAGCCCCTCGCCCACCAGCTGGGAGGGTGGCTGTTCCTGAAGCCCCCTCACCCGCCAGCTGGTCTGCCCTCTGCTATCGCTGTCACTGAGTCACCACTTGATAGTCTCCTCAAAACCACAGTGAACCTCAGATTTGCAGATTTTGCTCTCCCCATTGCCAGTGTCACCTCAAATTCAAAGGAGCAGGTGGCCAGGGCTGGTCCTTCCTAGAGGATTCTGGCGAAGATGTTCACGCTTGTTTGCATGAGATACTTGCTGAATCCGCCTGGCCTCTGAGGAATAATCCAGTCACTTCCGGGGAGCTTCCTGAGGAAGACTGGGGAGCTTGTAGACGCTGCCACGTTTAATCAGTCTCCCTTTGATCAGTGCGGGTAGCAGGCCTTCCAGGCGCACTTTGGCAGATCACAGAACAGAGCATCCCGATGCTCAGGACGGTACAAAGCGTGTTCCGTTTATTATGCAGCGAACACGGAAGAACATCCGTGTGTGAGACACATGCGCTAGGCTGAGGGAGGTGTGCCCAGATACATTTCTGTCCTCCAGAGCCCTGGAGGGGATAGGATACAACAGATACACAGAAATATCAGACAGTGCCGTGAGCACCTGATACAACCGATACACAGAAATATCAGACAGTGCCAGATGAGCACCTGTGGAAAGGAACAGAAAATCCTGTAAGTGCCCAAGTGGAGAGAAATGACTCGTGGGAAATCAGTGAAGATGTCAGGCTGGAGGGGGCTTAGTGCGTCAGGAGGCACAAGGCACGGAGTGCCCGAGCCCTGCGGGGAGTGTGTTTCTGTGCCACCAGGATACAGAATGGGAGGTGAGTTGCTTGCAATTTGAAATCCTACTGGCTGTTACGTCATGTTGGGACCAACGCATCAATTATTCAAGCATGTGCTGGTTACCTCCCACTCCGAGGACTGGGTGCAAGAGTGAAGATTCAGGTAGACCTAGGACCGGGGAGACTAAACTGTTTCCTAAAAGGGCAAAACCTTCAAACCGCAATGTTGACAGACCAGGTAAAGACTGATACGTGTACAGTGTGCAGCTCATCTTTTATTGAGAAGTTTTGTTTTTATGTTGCTGAACTCTAAAATTCTCACAGAATTCTGTTTCATGGGACATTTGTGCCGTTATTTAGTATTTGCTCCTGAGTTTTCAAAATTACTCTGGCAGATAAAAGTTAAGTTGCCAGATACAGTTAAGTAACAGCAAACCATGAAAGAAGGAGCTCTGTTACCTGGCATTATAAAAACAGCATTACTGATTAATATTCTGGCTGCTTATTTTTAAAGAAATAGGGTGATAATTAAAATGCTGCATAGCATATGTGTCATTTCTTTTGATTCATAAACCTGGTTCTGTCAGTGAGGATCAGCTTCCAAGCTTTTGTAGGTTTGGGGAGGTGCTAGTTGATAGTGTGGTTAATCCGGAGCCATGACAGCCATTGTTGGCTGTACAGTGTTTCATATTAGCTCTACACAGCTCATTGGTGGAATGATTGTGGGTCTCATGGACCACGTGTTTGGTAGTGTCATTTTAAATGTGTTACCATTGGGACATGTTTCTTTTTAAAAAATAGATAGTGAAAAATGTAAACCTGGGACTCTGAAAAACTTGAGTCAAAAGGTCAAATGTTAGATCAAGTCCACGAGGAGTGTTCCCTGCCAGAATGTGGTAGGGAATTTGACCTCCAGAATAAGATGTTTTAATAAAATGGCCAAATTTATTATTTGCTGACAATGTCTGAATTCATGCACAAGCACCTTTATCTTACTCTTATACTATGAAGAACTTTTATATAGAATATATATTTTGAAAACAAAATGTTGGCATCTTGTGTTTTTTTTTTGTTTTTTTTTTTTTGTTTTTGTTTTTTTTTTTTGACAGGCAGAGTGGACAGTGAGAGAGAGAGAGACAGAGAGAAAGGTCTTCCTTTGCCGTTGGTTCACCCTCCAGTGGCCGCTGCGGCTGGCGCGCTGCGGCCGGCGCACTGCACTGATCCGATGGCAGGAGCCAGGTGCTTCTCCTGGTCTCCCATGGGGTGCAGGGCCCAAGCACTTGGGCCATCCTCCATTGCCTTCCAGGGTCACAGTAGAGAGCTGGACTGGAAGAGGAGCAACCGGGACAGAATCCGGCGCCCCGACCAGGACTAGAACCTGGTGTGCCGGCACCGCTAGGTGGAGGATTAGCCACGGTGCCAGCCTATTTAAGATTTAAGTATTATCATCAGTATCTTTTAATGTTTTGGATGTTTAATCCAGGTGCTAACTCATTTTTTTTAAAAAAGATTTTATTTATTTACTTGGGAGGTAGAATTACAGACAATGAGAGGGAGGGATAGAGAGAAAGGCCTTCCTTCCGTTGGTTCACTCCCCAAATGGCTGCAACAGCCAGAGCTACGCCAGTCTGAAGCCAGGAGCCAGGAGCTTCTTCTGGGTTTCCCACACGGGTGCAGGGGACCAGAGACTTGGGCCATCTTCTACTGCTTTCCCAGGCCGCAGCAGAGAGCTGGATTGGAAGAGGAGCAGCCAGGACTCCAACTGGCGCCCATATGGGATGCTGCACTGCAGGCGGAGGATTAACCTACTGCGCCACGGTGCTGGCCCTGTACTAACTCATTTTAAGCAGAGCTGTCCACCTTGGTTTCTTGGAGTGGGAGGGAGGAGGCAGCCACAGATTGGGGAGGAAATGCAGGAAGAGTTGTTGGAAAGAGTGGAAGGGCCCCAGCAGGACAGCAAGTGTTCAGCCCACCTGTTAGGAAGAGAAACAGGAACAGCCACACCACAGGATGGGAAGCTTTGAAGAAACGTGTTCTGAGAGGCCGTGTGCTGGAAGTCGGTCTGGATGAGCTGTGGGGCATGGAATCTCTGGACTTCCCAGGCAAGGCTGCCTGCCTGCAGAGACCCACCTGTCAGTTAACAAGCGTCCCAACGCCGTCCTCCTCTGCAGCTTCTCAGTTTCCAGACCATCACCCTATACTCTCCATGGTGATTTTTTGCTTAGTATTGCAAAAAATCTGAGAAAATTCTAACTTCCTTCAGAAAATAAAGAAGGCAAATTTGGATATTGTCAATAGTGTGTTTTTAAAGGTAACTAATGTTGGGGCCAGCACTGTGGGGTAGCGGGTAATGCCAGCAACTGCAGTTCCAGTATCCCATATGGACACTGATTTGAGTCCCAGCTGCTCCACTTACGATCCCGCTCTCTGCTGTGGCCCGGGAAGGCAGTGGAAGATGGCCCAAGTCCCTGGGCCCTTGCACCTGCATTGGAGACCCAGAAGAAGCTCCTGGCTCCTGGCTTCAGATTGTACCAATTCTGGCCTTTGTGGCCATTTGGGAGTTAACCAGCAGACGGGAGACCTCTCTCTCTTTTTCTCTCTCTCTCTTTGTCTGTAACTCTGCTTCTCAAATAAATAAATCTTTAAAAAAAAAATTCTTTCCTGGCCGGCGCTGCGGCTCACTAGGCTAATCCTCTGCCTGCAGCGCCAGCACCCCAGGTTCTAGTCCCGGTCGGGGCGCCAGATTCTGTCCCGGTTGCCCCTCTTCCAGGCCAGCTCTCTGCTGTGGCCCGGGAGTGCAGTGGAGGATGGCCCAAGTGCTTGGGCCCTGCACCCGCATGGGACACTGGGAGAAAGCGCCTGGCTCCTGGCTTCAGATTGGCACAGCGCGCCAGCCATAGTGGCCATTTGGGGAGTGAACCAATGGAAGGAAGACCTTTCTCTCTGTCTCTCTCTCTCAATGTCTATAACTCTCTCTCTGTCTCTCTTACTGTCTATAATTCTCTCTCTGTCTCTCTCACTGTCTAATTCTGCCTGGCCAGAAAAAAAAAAAAAATTCTTTCCTTTAAAACAGAAGATGAGTTTTTTTCTCCCCTGAACTCCTGCTACTGTTTTAGTTACAAATGTTCCACATCTTAATTATTAAGAGTATCTCTGAAATAACTGTGATGGAAAACTATAACTTTTTTAATTTTAATTTTATTTATTTGAAAGGCACAGTTACAGAGAGAGGGAGAGAAAGAGAGAGACAGGTCTTCCATAGCTGGTTCACTTCTCAAAAGGCCACAACATCTGGTGCAGGGCCAGAATGGAGCCAGGAACCAGGAGCTTCATCTGGGTCTCCCACATGGGTGCAGGGGCCCGAGCACTGGGCCCATCTTCAACTGCTTTCCCAGGTGAATTAGCAGGGATCTGGGGTATAAATGGAGCAGCCAGGACTTGAATGGGCACCCATATGGGATGCTGGCTCTGCAGGCTCAGGCTTAACATACTGTACCACAGTGCCAGACTCCAGACTGTGACATTTTCAACAGCAGGTGATAGGTGACTCTGGGAGAATGTGATTAGTAGAATTGAATGATCGGCCGGCGCTGTGGCTCACTAGGCTTATCCCCCACTTGCAGTGCCGGCACACCGGGTTCTAGTCCCAGTTGGGGTGCCGGATTCTGTCCCGGTTGCCCCTCTTCCAGGCCAGCTTTCTGCTGTGGCCCAGGACGGCAGTGGGGGATAGCCCAAGTGCTTGGGCCCTGCACCCCATGGGAGACCAGGAGAAGCACCTGGCTCCTGCCTTCAGATCAGCGCGGTGCACCAGCTGCAGCACGCCAGCCGCACTGTCCACTCTGCCTGTAAAAAAAAAAAAAAAAAGAATTGAATGATCCGTCTCATGGTCTGATAAACACCCAGGCTGTAAGCCCTGCGGGTGAGCATAAAGAAATGATCACTGTGCTAATCACGCCACTTTTCAGAACCCGTTAGGATTCGCCTTATCAGTGTTCCCTCAGTGCTGAGCATCTTTGACAGGGTTAGTAGACTTCTGGAGTTCCTGTCCTTTCTACATACCTGGCTCGTACTGGGATAAGTTGTTAGTTGGTTACTGAGGGCAGGGTGGCTCAGGCCGTCTGTCCCATGCTGTCCCCATAGCTTCTCTCCAGCTCGATTCAGTGCTTCCAGTCCGTGGTTTCCCCCGCTATGCTTTATATAAGCAGGTGGGGTTGAACAAGGCACACGATAGCTGCATGCTGCTGAATAAAAGCTTCCGGATGGCACGCTTCCTACATGGACAACCGGAAACAACTTCGATCTGCGGTCTGCGTTGTTCTGAGGGGGGTCCCAGGGAGTAAGCCTTGGAATGCCACCGCCTTCACCAGGGTACATGCAGCGCCTGCTTCAAGGAAAACCGTTGTCTTGTTGTCTGAGATTTTAGATTACAGAAGTCATGAGCTATTTTGTAGTTGCCTGTCTCTTAACATGATTAACTAAGATTCATCTCCTCTTTCTAACTGCAGAAATCCACAACCATCAGCCTTGTTCAAAACTTTTTAGGTAAGCCACATCCTTCTTTGTAGCTTTTAGTCCTTATTAAAAGATGGATTGATTGAAGGCTAATATATTTAGGCCTGTAGCTGATTATGGCTACAAAAGCACAAATGCTCTTCCATCGGTGGGCACCTAAACTCATGCATTTGTTGAGCTCTCAGTGTGTGTGTGGCACTGTGGTAGGTGGTGTGGATTGTGGCCTGGATGACTTAGAGTGTAAGCGTCCCCCGTCCTCCCTGTGAAGAGCTGCTCAACCATAGAGAAGAAAGTTAAATGAGGATTGCCTGTAAATAAAACACTCCAAGGAAGAGTAAAAGGGTTCCATGTTCAACTTGCTCTTTGTGTTTATTTAAATTAATATATACCAGCTCCATATTATGACCAATCAAGGGACAGAAACAGAGAGAAGTGGGAGGAAAAACATTGAGAAGGGAGAAAGCACATGACTGAGAAACATTCTGGAAGACAAAAGGATGAGGGAGACAAAGTCCAGCATCAGAGTTACTCACTGGACTTCGCTCAAACCACCGCCCAGCCCTTTGCCTTCTTTCTCAGCCCCAGACCTTCCACCTGCTGGCTGGTCTGATTTCAACTCTGGTAAGAGTCCCTGAAGCCCTACTTCTCCCCCTTCCCAGTCACAAGGGAAGTGCCTTCCAGCCTGTGCTGCCACATGGGAACAAGCCAGTGTTCTTGCTCATCACTGCCTTCCCTTCCTCACACCTGCGAAGCGTGTGGCTCTTCCTGCTGTATTTTCCTTGCAACTTTCACTCTGACCACTCTCTCATTGTCACCTGGCCCGAACATCCACCTCCCCTGCACCCGGGAATCCCTGGGGACTCAGGTATTCGCCCCCTACGCATACACCCCTGCCTATTGGTTGTTTCAGAGGCTCACCATCCTTCATGGTGGTTGCCTGCAAATGAAGCCCTGAAGGAGCTGAGAACTGGTCTGTTGTAGGTTCACATATAACTGAAAAGGAACCAGGGGAGTCAGACAGACTGCTGGCAGTTCACTTGGAAAGAGTCTCAGAGCGCATGAAGCGATTCAGGCCCTGCTGCACACGTTGCCTGTGTTTGGTCTGTGAAAGAGCCCAGCTGGGCCCTGATCGTCTGAAGCTTTGTTGGACACGCCCTGCCTCACTTTTTGGAGGGATTTCTTAGGACACAGTCAGAAGCACAGAACCAGACGAGAATGAACTGGCCTTAAGTAACAGACTTGTAGTTCTTAGAACAGAACGAAGCCTTAGAAATGAGCTGTCTGCTCCAGACTTCTTGTTCTGCTAAAGAAGGCAATGGAGACCAGATAGGTAAAGTGACTTGCCTGAGGACATACCGTGAGAAGCGGAACTGGGGCTGGAGCTGGAATCTTCTGATTACCAGTTTGGTATATTTTTGTTATACCTTGAACTCCTCCTGCTTTACAAGGCCTGGGCTTATGGTAGTGGGAGAAGGCCAAGGGAATGGCACGATTGGTGGAAAGACCAGCGTGTTCTTAGACCTGGAAAGCCAACCCCGGATCTTGAGCACATTGGTTTTTTTGGAGGTGAGCCCATTAGGTTTGAAGTTAGTCAGATTTGGCTTCAAATCCCAGCCCTTCTGTCTACTGGCTGTTTGGTTTGGGCCGAGTCACTTAACCCCAGTATCTTTATGTACAAAACTGAGAATGAAACTTGATGAATTGTTGGGCTAAACTAATACTTCCAGCTTTGCAGCAAGAATGACATGAAACAACATGGGAAATGCAGCTGGGTGTCTTATTAATCATTCAGCTAATGTTTATTTCCCTTCATTTCTCAGAAAATGAATTGCTACAGTATCTTTTTTCATATGCAATTGACACTTAGAAACAAGGAAAGGATGTCACAGCCGTTTGCAGCACCTCCCTCCTGGGAAAGTGATATCTTCTGAATGTAGCGATGGCTTTAAGTATTCTTTGATGCGAAAGATACATTGTATCAGTAAGGCATTTGGACTGCTTTCCCTTTACCTATTCAGGCAATTATGTCTTTATGAGAGTTAGGAGCCCCATAAGACACATGTAGCTAAGCACCTCCTTGTCACAAAACTATTGTTTTAACAAGCTTTTTTTTTTTAACTTTTCCCCCAAAAAACAGTTTTTATGACTACGCAAGCAAAGTTAATGAAGAGAGTTTGGACAGAATTCTTAAAGATCGGAGAAAGGTATGTTCTGGTTGTTGCCCATTTGTGATTCAGAAATCATTTCTCATTTTACCTCCCAAATTTAAAACCAGAAACGAATGTAAAGTGAGATTTGAGGTTTGTATTCTGAGAGTTCTGTTAAGTGGATTTTAAAATAAATTGCAGATTTGAGTGTTTACAATTTAAATATTTATAGTGTGATTCCATTATGTAATAATTAGAAGAAAAAAACTATAATCTGAGAAATTAATAGTAGGTTAGTTGACTCTGGGTGGTTCTGTCTTTCTACCTTGTAACTGAAAAACAAATTTTGCAAACATTTAATAAATATGCATTAATTTTATAATAAGAAAAAGTATTTCTGAAAAGCAAATGGTAGGGGCTGGTGCTATGGCGCAGTGGGTTAATGCCCTGGCCTGAAGTGCCAGCATCCCACATGGGCGCTGGTTCAAGTCCCTGCTACTCCACTTCCAATCAAGCTCTCTGTTATGACCTGGGAAAGCAGTAGAGGATGGCCCAAGTCCTTGGGTCCCTGCACCCGCGTGGGAGACCTGGAAGAGGCTCCTGGCTTTGGATCGGCGCGGCTCTGGCCATTGCGGCCAATTGGGGAGTGAACCAGCGGATGGAAGACTTCGCTTTCTGCCTCTCCTCTCTATGTGTAACTCTGACTTTCAAATAAATAAATAAAAATCTTTTAAAATAAAATGTAATCAAACATACTCGGATATGGTACTCTTTCAAGCTCAGAGTTGAACATGGATGATTTTCCACCAAGTTATGTGTTTATCATTTCTTTTTTTTTTTTTTTTAAGATTTATTTATTTGAAATTCAGAGTTACACACAGAGAAAAGGAGAGGCAGAGAGAGAGAGAGAGAGAGAGAGAGAGAAAGAGGTCTTCCATCCATTGGTTCACTCCCCAGTTGGCCACAATGGCTAGAGCCATGCTGATCAAAGCCAGGAGCCAGGAGCTGCTTCTGGGTCTCCCACACGGGTATGGAAGCCCAAGGACTTGGGCCATCCTCCACTGCTTTCCCTGGCCATAGCAGAGAGCTAGATCAGAAGTGGAACAGCCAGGACTCAAACTAGTACCCATATGGGATGCCAGCACTGTAGGTGGTGGCTTTACCTGCTATGCCACAGCGCTGACCCCCCCCCCTCAAATTTTAAATATATAGTTTCACCTCAGGTAGCCTGAAAATTCAATTATACCTGGATACAAAAGTGTGAGAAACTGGAGTCATTGAACACTGTAGCCCTGTGCCAGGCCGTGTACTCAGAACTCAATGTACTGTCACATGTAATCTTTGTAGCACCCCTCCAAGGCAAATTTCTCAAAGTCCTGTGGAAGCAACTATGGTTAAATAATTTGCCCAACGTCAACACCGATTAATGATGGAGCCCAACTTTAGGCCAAGCAATGTGGCATCTTGATCCAGTGTACAAAGTTGTTGCTCCATTGTTTAATAGTGAGAGTTCTTAGAGCAAATGTCTAGCATTCAGGAATGTTTAATTCTGTTAGGTTCATGCTTCCATATTGTGGAATAAGAGCAGGCATTTGGCCTAGCAGTTAAGATACCTGCATCCCACTTTGGGCTGGGCCTGGATTCAGTTCCTGGCTCTGGCTCCTGATGCTAGCTTCCTGCCATTGTAGACCTTGGGAGGCAGCAGTGACAGCTCAAGTGGTTGGACCTCCACCACCCACATGGGAGATTTGGATGGAGTTTGGCTCTTGGCTTTGGCCTGGCCCATCCCTGGCCCTGGCTGTCATAGGCATTTGGGAAATGAATAGGTGGGAGAAAAAATCTCTTTTTCTCTCTGTCCTTCCCCACCCCCCTCAAATAAATAAAAATTTTGAAAACCTTTAAACATTTAAAATAGAATGAGGGAGGTAATAATATAAAAATATCTCCAAGTTAAATGATGTGGTTTGAGCCATTTTATTTAAAACCGAAGTCTGAGTGAGTGTTCAAATGTATCCAGAAAGATCTGGAAGGAAGCCAAGCAAACTTGGGAAAGGGAGTTGATAAAGGGTGGGTGATACCACTAAAGACAGACTTTATTTGAAAAAGTTGGTTTTCTTGATGACCGTGTGAGCTGTAATCGAGATAAATTGGAAAAAGAGCACTTTCTTATGTAATCTTTTCAGCAGTAGGTAAGAACAAACTTCCGAATTAACGTTGGGATCTTAAAATAGAATTTGCCACTTTGGTTCCTAGTAGAGCAGAAGCAGGTTTTTACGTGTAGTTGAGGTTGCTTTTCCTGAAGCCTGGAGTCTGAAGGGTGAGAGTTGACCTGTAGTTTTGGTTTGATAGAACTTTGCCTTAAAGCAAATGTTAACATTTTCCTTTGCAGTTAAAGATATGAATTTGTTGCTTCACTTTACTTGGAAAATATGTTCCCTTTTCCCTGATCTTTGTTGAGGACAAGAAGTATGTTTTCTGTTTGGCTGTGTTCCTGTGCTACCTTGTACATAAAATGAGTTCTGTAAGGATTTTTTCTCTAAACTCCAACTTTCTAGCACAGAAGCAGAGATGATATTTATAATATTCAGGCAAGAAAATCTTTATAATTGAGTGTAATTTGAACTGCCCCCCTACACACACTTACAGGAAAGGTACATGATTATATATATCTTTAGCTTTAAAGGTTGTCTGTGCCTGCCAAGGTACATTTAAGGTGTTAAGTTTAAGCTAGAGGCTAACATTTTTATATCAAAGTCCTGAAGCACAGCATGAATATGGGCTAAACTACTATTCTAGAAGAATAAATATTGCATATTGTGTTTATGAAGTTTCCACAGGCCTCAGGTTTTAGACTAAGGCCAAACGAAGCAAATACAAAGGGAGAACTCTGCCTCCTGGAAGCATCTGCTCTGAAATGGGTAGCAGTCAACATAGCAGCCACCCTAGTATCATCATAGGCCCAGAAGGAACACAGGTGAAGATGATGAATGTGCCCAGTGTGCTGTAATTGCTTTGGCTCTGTAAGTGAATGTCTCGCGTGGAGAACAGAGAAGAAAGTCTGTGAAAGACTGATTGTGGAACTTCAGCAGAGATAAGATTTCAGAGAGATCCCCATAGTTCACCCTGACCCAGGCATGGCTATTCACGTGTGCTTTCAGCCCCAGTGAGCTGGTTCCCCTGAGCTTTACACCCAGCCTGTTAGCTCTAAAGGGCAGGACTTAGTATCGCCAATGCGTATTCGGCATTTCTTCCTTCGTTGATCAGAATGATGGGGAGTCTGTTTAAACTCTGGGAAGGAGTGTGCATTGGCACAGCAGGTAAGAGGTTGTTTGGGACACCTGGATCCCATGTCCGAGTGTCTGGGTTTGAGTCTCAGTTTCTGCCTCCGACTCCAGCTTCCTGCTAGTGCACACTCTGGGAGGCAGCAGGCGATGGCCCAAGTACCTGGGTCCCTGCCACCCCTGTGGGAGTCCCGGATTGAGTTCACCCCTTGTTTCTGCCTGGGCCAGCCAAGGTCATTGCAGGCATTTGGGGAGTGAACCAGTGGATGGGAGTGCACTATTGCTTGCTTACTCACTCATTCTTTCTCCCTCAAACAAAAAAGTAAGTATAAGATACTATTGATGAATATCAGATCACTGAGTTGATTACTGTTACTTGGTACCTGGCATAAATTGATAACACCCTCTTTTCTTTTCTTTTCTTTTCTTTTTTCTTTCTTCTCTTTTCTTTTTTGACAGGCAGAGTGGACAGTGAGAGAGAGACAGAGAGAAAGGTCTTCCTTTGCCGTTGGTTCATCCTCCAATGGCCGCCGTGGCCGGTGCGCTGCGGCCAGCGCACTGCGCTGATCCGATGGCAGGAGCCAGGTGCTTCTCCTGGTCTCCCATGGGGTGCAGGGCCCAAGCACTTGGGCCATCCTCCACTGCACTCCTGGGCCACAGCAGAGAGCTGTGGAAGAGGGGCAACCGGGATAGAATCCGGCACCCCGACCGGGACTAGAACCCGGTGTGCCGGCGCCGCAAGGCGGAGGATTAGCCTAGTGAGCCACGGCGCCGGCCGTAACACCCTCATTTCTCAGAAATACAAATAGAATAAAACTGTTGGAATCATCATAACCAATAACGCTGTTATTCACCCAGTAGCCACTTGAAAGATTCTGTTATTAAATTAATGAGTATTTCATGAAAGCAGCCATGGAGCTGGGCGCCAGGCAGGTCTGGCAGAGGCAGAGGTGAGACATGCCCCGTCCTCCAGAGCAGATCATTTCTGCCCTACCTGTGGTTTTGAGTGTTGGAGTGAACTGGGCCATATTCACAAGCATCAGAAGGTCCAGCCAATTAATGCGTTTTCTATCCACTTCCAGGATACCAGAAGTAATTACTTTCCTTAATTTAATTGGAAGTTATGCTTTCTCTTCTGGAGTAATCCCTGAGGTCGGGAAACCATTGCTTATTTCTTTGTCCCTTGTACTTCTTGCAGGTGATAGGAACTCAGTGGAGGGAAGGTCCCACACCTCCCAGGGCGGTTGTTGTAATTTATCATGTGGCTAGCAGGAGGCCTGCCCAGGAGCTCAGCAGGGAGTCAGTTCCCTTTCTACATGAAAGTGCCAGATCATTAACTAAATGGACTGTTATTTTTAAAAAGATACTAACAGTTTTAAATCACCTTTACTTTTTAAAAAAAGTTGTTTATTTATTTATTTGTTTATTTATTTTAAAAGGCAGAGTTACAGAGAGAGAGAGCTCTTCTGTCTACTGTTTCACCTCCAAAAGGTCGCACAGCCGGAGCTGGGCCACACTGAAGCCAGGAGCCTCAGATTCCATCCAGATCTCCCACGTGGTGGCAGGGGCCCAAGCACTTGGGCCATCTTCTGCTGCTTTCCCAGGCTTCTTAGCAGGAATCTGGATCAGAAGTGGAGCAGCCAGGTCTCAGACCAGCACTGCAGTGAGGGATGCCAGCATCCCAAGCATTGGCTTTACGCCTGCCCCCAAAGCACTTATCTTAAATCAGATTCCTGGCCGTACCTTAGGTTCCGACTCTGCAGGTTTGGGTTGGGCCCAGGAATCTACAGTTTGGCAAACTCCCAGAAGCTTCTCATGTCATCTGTCTTCCAGATGTCCAGTGAAATCACATTATGAGAAGTATGCTTCCTGAGAATGAAGCAGTTTAATTCACTTAAACGGTTCAGTTATGCTATTGTTAGAGCTGACAAAGCTAAACTTGAAATAGTTGTTTTAGGTATAATGGACATAACACCACACAAATTTAGATTGTACACATTGATCAGTTTGATATATGTGTGTACCCTTGAAGCCATCTCCATGATAAGATAATGAACACATCCATCACCTGCAGAAGTTTCCTCGTGCACTTTTCCAATCCTGTCTTCTCAACCTCCCCTCCTCCCTTCTTCTCAACCACTGACGTGCTTTATGTCACTGTAGATCAGCTACCGTGTTCTAGAATTCTGTACAAATAGAATCCTGTAGCACATACAGGATTGGCCCTTCATGTCTGCAGGTTCTGCATCAGTGCATACATCAAAGATAATTTAAAGAATGAAACATTCCAGAAAGTTTCAAAAGCAAAAACTTTCTTCTTCTTCTTCTTCTTCTTCTTCTTCTTCTTCTTCTTCTTCTTCTTCTTCTTCTTCTTCTTCTTCTTCTTCTTCTTCTTCTTCTTCTTCTTCTTCCTCTTCCTCTTCCTCTTCCTCTTCCTCTTCCTCTTCTTCTTCTTCCTCTTCTTCTTCTTCTTCCTCTTCTTCTTCTTCTTCTTCTTTTTTTTTTTTTTTAACTTTTTCTCTAAGATTTATTTGTTGGGGCCAGCAATGTGGCATAGTAGGCTAAGCCTTCACCTGTAGCAGCAGCATCCCGTATAGGCATATTTGTGTCCCACTGCTCCTCTTCCGGTCCAACCCTCTGCTGTGGCCTGGGAAAGCAGTAGAAGATGGCCCAAGTCCTTGAACCCCTGCATCCACGTGGGAGACCCAGAAGAAGCTGCTCGCTCCTGGCTTCTGATCAGCCCAGCTCCAACCCTTAGCCATTTGGAGAGTGAACCAGTGGATGGAAGACCTTTCTCTCTGTCTATAACTACCTTTCAAATAAATAAATAAAATCTTTTTTTTTAATTTTTAAAAAAATTTTTTTTGACAGAGTGGACAGTGAGAGAGAGAGACAGAGAGAAAGGTCTTCCTTCCGTTGGTTCACCCCCCAAATGGCCACTACGGCTGGCGCACTGCGCCGATCTGAAGCTAGGAGCCAGGTGCTTCTCCTGGTCTCCCATGCAGGTGCAGGGCCCAAGCACTTGGGCCATCCTCCACTGCCTTCCTGGGCCACAGCAGAGAGCTGGACTGGAAGAGGAGCAACTGGGACAGAACCCGGTGCCCCAACCGGGACTAGAACCTGGGGTGCTGGCGCCGCAGGCGGAGGATTAGCCCAGTAAGCCATGGAGCCGGCCAAAATAAGTAAAATCTTAAAAAAGAAAAGATTTGTTTATTTGAGAGGCAGAGTTAGAGAGAGAGAGAGAGAGAGAGAGAGAGAGAGATCATCCATCTGCTGGTTCACTCCCCAGATGGCCAAAACAGCCACAGCTAGGCCAGGCCAAATCCAGAGCCAGGGACTTCTAGGTCTCTCACGTGGGTGCAGGGACCCAAGTACTCAGACCATCTTCCACTGCCTTCCCAGGCATATCAGCAGGGCATTGGATCAAAAGTGGAGCAGCTGGAACTTGAATTGGCACCCTTATGGGAAACCTGCATCACAGACAGCGGTTTTTGCCACTGTGTCCCAGCACCGGCCCCTAAAAGCCAGACCTCTGTGGAACCGGCATTGTGTCGCAGCGGGGCTGGCGCCCCGTGTTGGAGCACTGGTTCAAGGCCTGCCTGCTCTGCTTGCAGTCCAGCTCCCTGTGAATGCGCCTGGGAAGGCAGCAGACGATGGTCCAGTACTTGTACCCTGCCACCCAAGAGGGTGGACCCGAGTGGAGTTTCTGGCTGTAGCTCTGTCTGTTGTGACTGTTAAGGGAGTGAACCAATGAATGGAAGATCTCTGTCTCATTCTCTTGTCACTCTGCCTTTCAAATAAATAAATCTTAAAAAAAAAAAAAAAAAAACAAAACCAAAACCAAAACCCTTGAATTAGCTGCATGCCAAGCACCACACTGAGTTTGTGCAAGTGGAGTGCTAGTAGGCACAGCCTGTGGTGGCCTCCACTGTGTCTTAGATGCTCAGTTTCCCTCTAACATTGTTTGTGAACACAAATTTCATTCATATACTGTGTACTCAGGCCTGTGGCGGTTGCATCTGTACTGAACATGTACGCTTCCCCCTTTCATTTTTCCCTACATAATACATTATAAAAGCTCTGTAAATGTTGTATTAATATTATTTTAAGCATATGGGAGAGTGTGTTAGGTATATGCAAATGCCATCCCATTTTTTGAAGGTATTTCAAAAAGTTTGTGGAAAATGGAGGGAAAAGATAACTCATTGTGGAAAAACTTTTAGATCTGTGTATAGTTTCTTGGGGCTGGTGCTGTGGCACAGTAGGCTCAGCTTCCTGCTGCAGTGCTGGCACTGCATATGGTGCCAGTTCATGTCCTGGCTGCACAAAGACGGCGCAGGTGCTCAAGCCCTCGCACCAGCGTGGGAGTTCTAGAAGTAGCTCCTGGCTCCTGGTTTCAGGTTGGCCCAGCTCCAGCTGTTGCAGCCATTTTGGAAGTGAACCAGTGGATGGAAGACCTTTCTGCCTCTCAAATTAAAAAAAAAATCTTATATAAAAAATAAAAATGTTTAAATCTACGTTTAGTTTTTTTCATACTATGCATTTTCCATGAACTTTTTGAAGTCCACTTATGTACAAAGGGACTTGAGACCAGCAGATTTTTCTACCTGTGGGGTGTCCTGGAACCAGTCCCTTGTGGATACCGAGATGACAGCACGCCTTATTTTGGAAAGGTCTGGTTTATTTCCCTTTGCGTAATTATTTTGCTGTTCTTCCATGCAGTGTGTATTAGAAATTTGTTTCTTTTTATTACTGAGTAGGAATCTGTGATGTACCAGTTTTTTTTAATCTATTCACCTATTGGTCAACAGTTAGCTGCTATGACATTGTGTACAAGGGTTTTTATGGATACATTCAGAATTAAATTTTTTTCTTAAAAATATTTTACTGTACCTTTTAAAAGATTTATGTATATATGTATATATTTGAAAGACATCATGACAGAGAGTGAGACAGAGATCTTCCATTGCCGGTTCACCCTCCAGTGCCTGCAATGGCCAGAGCTGGGTCAGGCCAAAACCAGGAGCCAGGAAACCCATCCTGGTCTTCTATGTGGGTGTCAGGGACTCAAGTACTTGGGCCATTGTCTGTTGTTTCCCAGGTGCGTTGGCAGGGAGCTGTATCAGAAGTAGGGTGCCTGACCTTGAACCAGCACTCCAATATGGGTTGTGAGTGTCACAACACCCGTTCCCAGAATAAAATTTCTAAGATTTTATAGAATTTACAATGCTTCTTTTCTTCTGTTTTTGTTGCAGAAAGTTATCGGATGGTACCGATTCCGGCGAAACACACAGCAGCAGATGTCATACAGAGAGCAAGTCATCCATAAGCAACTTACTCGCATCCTCGGTGTGCCCGACCTTGTCTTCCTCCTCTTCAGCTTCATCTCTACTGCCAACAATTCCACTCATGCTTTAGAGTATGTTCTCTTTAGACCAAATCGAAGGTAAAGCAATCCCCCCCGCTTCACACACAGAAGGATGTTGGTTCATGAGAATGATGTTCATGACTTTGAAAATGTGCACAATAATGTACTTTACAGCATCTTTTAAAGTCTGTATTATTCTTTTCAGCTGATTCTCTTTGTAAGTAGAGAAAGTATTTTCCTTTTCACTTATTTGTATAAATTAAAATTATTTTTGTGTCAAGCAGCATTAGTATGACTTATTTATTATACACGAATTCTTACGAATAAATAGCTAGAAGTCATCATTTGCTTCTCCATAACCCATCACGTAGAAAGGCAGTTGCATTGCTACAGAAGTCTGATTATAATTACAATGCAGATTTCGAAGACAGAATTGTCTAATTGGTGGACCTCCTAGTTATTATGAACTTGGAGCTAACAAAGTATGATTCTCTGATCATGTCTGTAAATAGCAGAAAGGCTTCCCTCTGAATTCACTGTGGGATGCATCAAGTCAGCATCAGTGGGAATCAGTAATAATTGTAAAATGACCTGTGGAAGCTTGCATTAATTAATCCACAGGTACTTCTTTAGCACATAAAACAAGCCGGTCACTGTGTCCGTCACTGGGGGGATGCAGAGACGTATAGGACAGGACCTCTGCCCTTCGAGAGTTTACAGCTGAGCTTCTGGGTTAGTAAGGGGGGCAGGAAGTGCTAGTTTCTGCATCTTTCGGTTGTCGTAGGGGTAGATGCTCCATGGTGCCTTCTGTCAACGTGTTATCCTCAGAGACTGATACCTATTGCTGAACCCTGATCTTAGAGAAGTATTGTTAATGTGATCTATTTCTCATTTTCCTTATAGGTATAATCAAAGGATATCACTTGCTATTCCCAATCTAGGCAATACCAGCCAGCAAGAATACAAAGTGTCCTCAGTGCCAAACACTTCTCAGAGTTATGCCAAAGTTATTAAAGAACACGGGTAAGTTGTACGGTCAAATGAGAGTGTTTTCCTTTCTCTGCCAACAGCATTTCTTGTGTTATTACAACTAAAAGCTGTGTTGACTTGTATTTGTTCTGAGAGACATCTCTGTGATGTGGCAGTTTTGAAGTTCATGCTAGTCTGCATTCCCTGCCCTGTGCCTGCATCTTTAACAATGGCAATGTGAAGAAAATGCTACCTTTTTTGTTAAGACACTGACTTGAAATGTGTATATTTACAGCCGTTTATTTTTTCCTTTTTTCTTTTGGTGGTTGGACGTTCTGAGGATAAGGAGAATATTTTTGGGGGACAAATCAAGGGCCTATAAATTTTTTTAAGGTTTTATTTATTTACTTGAAAGGGAGAGTTACAAAGAGAAAGATGGAGAGACAGAAAGAGAGATCCACTGGTTCACTCCCCAAAAGGCTACTTGGCTGGAGTTGGGCCAGGCCAAAACCAAGAGTAAGGAGTGTCTTCCAGGTCTCCCACATGGATGCAGGGACCCAAGCACTCTGCTGCTTTCCCAGGTGCCTCATCAGGGAGCTGGATCGGAAGTGGAACAGCCAGTGCTAGAACAGGTGCCCATGTGAGATGCCGGTGCTGCAGGCAGTAGCTCGACTCACTGCGTGCCAGTGCCAGCTCACAGTGCCAGCCCCTATAAGTTCTTTTTTTTTTTTTTTTTTTTTTGACAGAGTGGACAGTGAGAGAGACAGAGAGAAAAGTCTTCCTTTGCCATTGGTTCACCCTCCAATGGCCGCTGCCGCTGGTGTACCGCACTGATCCGATGGCAGGAGCCAGGTGCTTATCTTGGTCTCCCATGGGGTGCAGGGCCCAAGGACTTGGGCCATCCTTCACTGCACTCCCTGGCCACAGCAGAGAGCTGGCCTGGAAGAGGGGCAACCAGGACAGAATCTGGCACCCCGACCGGGACTAGAACCTGGTGTGTTGGCGCCGCAAGGCGGAGGATTAGCCTAGTGAGCCGCGGCGCCGGCCATCCCTATAAGTTCTTAAGTAGAAAGCTGAAGTGACTTCTAATGCCAGCCTTGCTTATTTGCATTGTTCACATTTTATTAGGGAGTACGTGTGTACCTGTGTGCATACGTGCATGTGTGTGTGTTTTGCTTTTTGTTTACACCAACCAATCAAAAGGGATAGGTTCTAGAAAGTGGAGCATGATGGGAAACATAGTTTTTGACTCAAAAAAACAGATGCGTTTTCATAACTTAGATTTTACTAGAATAGAGCTGTTCACCTAAAGACAGGGAGAGTAGATGCTTCTTGGGCTTTTGTGTGTGTATGCGTGTTTGGTTTCTAGGCTGTTCAGTGTGTGATTTATTCAAGGCCTCATGCTTTTCTTCAATGCTCCTCGCTATGCATTTTCTCTCTCTACATACAGAATTTGGGGTGGGCGGGGCTGTGTGTTTTCATTTGGGGACTCAGCAGTATTGAGTCTTATATAGCCCTACTCTTAAGCCTTCAATACTGTCCACTCTTTATTTCTTTACTTTCTTAATTTATGAAAGCCCTCGAACTGCATAGAAGATGAGCCTTTAAACATGGGTAAAACTGTCCCAAGGATGGCTTTGGAAGGTGTGTAAGAATGAGATGCTGCAGACTCAACACAGTTATCTAAACAGCAGGTCCCAGCTCCCCGCACGTCCTCCGAAGCTTCTGCCCCAGCCCTCGCTTGCCTTTGCAGTGCTGCTTCCCGCCAGCTGGCCCTCACACGTAAATTCTCAGACTCCGCTAGGGAGGCCTCGAGGCAGCAGTAAGAGCAGAATCAGCCAGCTCTGACAGGGTTGGTCATGCTCACCTGTACAGTTTTTCCCCCTTTTCAAAAAGGAATGTAAGAAAATTTGTTTTCTCCATAGAATTAAATAATATTAAACTTGTGTGAAAGGTTTATTGTGGACAGATTAGAAAAGAAAGGTGCATAGAAAAATGTGAAGTCAGGTTTGGGACTCACATGACTCAGTGGGAAGAATGCAGAAAGGTAATTCCCTGACTACCACCACCATATATCAAACTTTTATTCTTATTTAAAACACAGCCGAGGGGCCAGCTTTGTGGTGCACACAGCCTGTGATGCCAACATCATATTCGAGGTCAGTGTGAGCACTGGCTGCTCTGCTTCCAAATCAGTCCCCCACAGATGCACAGGAGAGCAGTGAAAGATGGCTGAGGTGCTCGGGCCTGGCTCAGTCCCAGCCAGTGCAGTCATTTGAGGAGTGAACCAGCAGGTGGCAGATCTTTCTCTTTCTATCTCTCACTCTGTCTTTTAAATAAGTGAAACACATCTTTAAGAAAAGAAAAAATAACAAAATAGAAGATAGTTTACATTTACCTTATTTTCAAACTTTGAACAAAGATTTATTTATTTATTTGAAAGTCAGAGTGACACAGAGAGAGGGAGAGAGACAGAGAAAGAGCTTCCACCTGCTGGTTCAGTGCCCAGATGGCCACAACAGCCTGGGCCAGGCCGAAGCCAGGAGCCAGGAGCTCCATCCTGGTCTTCCATGTGGGTGACAGGGCCCAGGTACCCAGGCCATCTTCCCCTGCCTTCCAGGAACATGAGCAGGGAGCTGGAAGCGAAGCAGCTACAGTTCAAACCAGAGCTCTAACAGATGCCAGTGTAGCAAACAGCAGCTTTGCCTGCTGTGCCACCACACCTGCCTCTATTTTTAAATTATTTGCCACAACTTGTTTTTCAGTTGCTAAAAAAACAGTATGGATAGACTGTATGTATTTCTGAAGTTCTAAAATCAACATAGTTACTTAAAAATATATAGCTTTTTGTTTTTAAAGTTGTCTTGGACACATGAGTTCTTTTTTCTTTCTCTTCTGTAATTGTTGTCATGTGGACGTTGCTTAGACATTGTCACTTGAAATCACATTTAAATAATAGATTAAAGTAGGAGTCACAGGAAAATGCTGTTCAGTTCATGGCAGTTACAATAACTTTGTGATATCTTTTTCTCCCTGTCTTCTAGTACTGACTTTTTTGATAAAGATGGAGTCATGAAAGACATCAGGGCAATTTACCAGGTGTACAATGCGCTGCAGGAGAAAGTGCAGGTAACTGATCTGTGTTTTCATCTTATTTCAGTGACCCAAGTACTTTTAATTTTACTTTAAATTTTTAATCATCTTCCAACTGCCAGATGAATTGTGGCTCAAAAGTCAGAAAGTGCTTTCCAAAAATAGTATCAGATCTGTAGTGGTACCCATGCCAGTTTCATATATTATGTGCCTGAGCAGAGACTCTGAAGTTCATTACTATTTTTTTTTTTCAAGATTTATTTATTTGAAAGGCAGAGTTACACAGAGAGAGGAGAGGCAGAGAGAGAGAAAAAGAGAGAGAGAGGTCTTCCATCCAATGGTTCACTCTCCAATTGGCCGCAACGGCCAGAGCTGCACCGATCCGAAGCCAGGAGCCAGGAGCTTCTTCTGGGTTGCCCATGTGAGTGCAGGGGCCCAAGGACATGGGCCATCTTCTACTGCTTTCCCAGGCCACAGCAGAGAGCTGGATTGGAAGTGGAGCAGTCGGGTCTCAAACCAGCGCCCATATGGGATGCCAGCGCTTCAGGCCAGGGTGTTAACCTGCTGTGCCACAGCACCAGCCCCAAGTTCATTATTATTAATACTACTGTTTTAAATCCTCATGACCTCATTTGTAGTAGTGTTTTTTTTCCTAGGAAAATGTATTCTGAGTTTAAAGAAGAGTTGCTAAGAATACAATCATTTCCACCAGTTACTTTTTTTTTTTGACAGGCAGAGTGGACAGTGAGAGAGAGAGACAGAGAGAAAGGTCTTCCTTTGCCGTTGGTTCACCCTCCAATGGCCGCCGCGGCCGGCGCACCGCACTGATCCGATGGCAGGAGCCAGGAGCCAGGTGCTTTTCCTGGTCTCCCATGGGTGCAGGGCCCAAGCACCTGGGCCATCCTCCACTGCACTCCCTGGCCACAGCAGAGAGCTGGCCTGGAAGAGGGGCAACCGGAATAGAATCCGCACCCCGACCGGGACTAGAACTCGGTGTGCCGGCGCCGCTAGGCGGAGGATTAGCCTAGTAAGCCGCGGTGCCGGCCACTTTTTTTTTTTTTGAGATTTATTTATTTGAAAGGCAGAGTTACAGAGAGAGAAGGAGAGAGAGAGAGAAGGACAGAAGTATCCTCCAACCATTTGTTCACTCCCCAAATAACCCCAGCAGTGGGGGCTGGGCAAGGCTGAAGCCAGGAGCCTTGAACTTCATCCGGTCTCTCATGTGGGTGCCAGCAGCCCAACTACTTAGCCTAACTTCTCTTGCTTTCTCAGGCACATTAGCAGAGAGCTGGGTCAGAAGTGGAGCAGCCAGGACTTGAACCGGCATGAACCGGCATCCATCTGGGATGCCAGGGTCCCAGGTGGCAGTTTAACCCTCTGTGCCACAATGCCAGCCCCTCCATCAATTACACTCTAAGTAGAGACAACGTTGAAAGTCACCTGCACCTGATCTAGCTCTGCTTCCCTCGGTCCATTCACCTGCTGCCCCCAGCTGCCTCTGTTAGGTGGAAGGATTGCAGTGGAGCCTATTCATTCATGCAACAGATGTTACGGAAATGTCTCCTGGGAGCCAGATACTGAGCTGGGTGCTAAAGGTGCTGTCTCAAGAACAAAAGAGCCTTTGACCTTGACCTTGAGGACAGAGTGGTGAACTTGAGGAAGCTCTCCCAGACCTGGATTTAAGGAAGAAGGCAACCACAAATAGAGGAGAGGAGGCAGCTCCTAACAAACCAGAAAGCAGACCAAGGTCAGCCTTAAGCAAATAGAGAACGCATACAAGGGCAATTGCCAGTGACAGTGTTCCAGATTTGGGTCAGTGTACGTCCAGCAGTACGGAGAGCTTGATACAGGCTTGCAGGTGACCAGCCCACTTTCTGGAAGTTTCTGGTATTTCTGCTATGGGAGGAACGTGTGGCAGAAAAGTTATTTGTCCTGAAGTTGTTACCATGACCATTTCAGGCTGTAGCCTGGCCAGAGGCCTTCAGAGTGGCCGCTCCACATCATTGTTGGTGGACGAAGGCCTTCAGAGCGGCCGCTCCGCATCATTGTTGGTGGACGAAGGCCTTCAGAGTGGCCGCTCCACATCATTGTTGGTGGACGAAGGCCTTCAGAGCGGCCGCTCCACATCATTGTTGGTGGACGAAGGCCTTCAGAGTGGCTGTTCCACATCATTGTTGGTGGACGAAGGCCTTCAGAGCGGCCGCTCCGCATCATTGTTGGTGGACGAAGGCCTGCTCCATAAACATCGATACCACATAGAGTATGCTGATTATTCTTGGCTAAATTACATAGATGCAGTCTCAGTTATCTTTTATTAAACCTTGACTTTGAAACTTACTTTGTTGTTCAACTTTCCCTCATTATAAATATTTTCTATTCAATGAATCTATCTTATCTTGGTTTTTGATGGCTGATTATAAATAAAAGTTGAAAGCATTTTGTTCCTGTCTTATCTTTTGTTCTTCCTTTGTAAGTTAGACTGGTATCAAAAAATTCCCTTTTCGTTTCAATAAAAAAATTAATCAAGGGGAAAGATTAAATTTTCCCATCTTTTATTTTTCAGGAGTTTATGAGGCCGGCGCCGCGGCTCACTAGGCTAATCCACCTTGCGGCGCCTGCACACCGGGTTCTAGTCCCAGTTGGGGTGCCGGATTCTATCCCGGTTGCCCCTTTTCCAGGCCAGCTCTCTGCTGTGGCCCGGGAGTGCAGTGGAGGATGGCCCAAGTGCTTGGGCCCTGCACCCCATGTGAGACCAGGATAAGTACCTGGCTCCTGCCATCGGATCAGCACGGTGCGCCGGCCACAGCACGCCGGCCGCACCGGCCGTTGGAGGGTGAACCAACGGCAAAGGAAGACTTTTCTCTCTGTCTCTCTCTCTCTCACTGTGCACTCTGCCTGTTAAAAAAAAAAAAAAAAAAAAAAAAAAAGTATGAGCTAAATAGCATAATTGTCTTAAGATTCAGGAAGCAGATTGGTGAATAATGATAACAGCAGCACTGGCCTCTTGGCCTTCATGATTCTGTTCTGACTCATGTGTCTACGTTTGAACTCAGCCACCTGGGCTCTCCTGGGGTTATAATCAGTGCTGGATTTGTGGAATGCCTCGTGCTCGGATTTGAAGCTAACCTTTGTTGCTGTCATCTTTCCCCTCAGGCAGTGTGTGCAGATGTAGAGAAGAGTGAGCGAGTTGTTGAATCCTGTCAGGCAGAAGTGAACAAATTAAGAAGACAAATCACGCAGAGGAAAAATGAAAAGGAACAAGAAAGAAGTAAGAATCCTACTAATTTTACAATTCAGTATCAGGGAAGTGTCTATTTTAAAACATCAAATTGCACATTAAATAACGGACTCCCACCCTCTGCTAGCCGCAGGTCAGGTTCTCTTGTCATTACATTTTTCTAGAGGGAGTTACTGCTTTTCAGTTTCCACGTCGAGTCTCTGAAACTGGGGGAAAGGAGTGTAAGCAGAAAAGCTGGATCGGTTTCGCCAAGCAGCGATTGATGCAGATGTGTGTGTGCTGGCCAATGTGACTTCTTACGGTGGCAGTGATGGTTACCCCCAAGTTAAGCCTGGCGTCCCTTGGGTATAAGGACTGTGTTGGTTATAACTACAGAAAGGACACTAAAATTCTGTTCACTTCATGCATGTTTGTGATTCAGCCTCAAGATCATGGTAAAGGCTTTAAATGTGTGGTCTTTGGCTAGCTGTGGATGAATGCATACCAGTAAACTAAGGAAATGCTGGTTGAATGAGAACTAGGCCCAGTAATTTAACACCAGCAAGATAATGGACGTATTTGCTGTAACATCTGTACAGTTAACATTTGTACATAAAATGTATAAAAATCTGGCAAATCATACCATGTTTAAAAGACATAAGGTGGCATAGCATGTAAAGCAGCCACCTGCAGCGCTGGCATCTCCCATGGGCACTGATTCATGTCTTAGCTGCTCCATTTCCAATCCAGCTCCCTGCTAAAGGCTCAAAAAAGCAGTGGAAGATGGTTTAAGTGCTTGGGATCCTGCCACCATGTGGAAGACTCAGACGAAGCTCCTGGCTTCTGGCTTTGGCCTGGTTCAGACTTGGCCATTGTGACCATTTGGGGAATGAACCAGCTGATGAAAGATCCCCCTCCAACCTTTCTCTCTCTCTTCTCCCCCTCTTCTTCTCCCTGCCCAGAAAATTATGTCTGATTGATTTTTACTGTTGTATTTTTCTGGAAACAGAAATGCAGAACATGAATTAGAGTAGTTGAATTAACAGCAGGAGATTAGTTGAATAAATTATGTAAATATAAATAAGAAATACATGATTGTAAATATATACAATATAACTGTCAATTTACAGTTAAAAATGAAAAATACATGGTGTATATATAATGGAATATATAGTCATTGAAGTGAATTTGGGTAATACCCATTTAAAGGTTTTAAGATTTATTTATTTGAAAGGCAGAGTTACAGAGAGGCAGAGGTATATATGTAGAGAGAGGTCCTCTATCCGATGGTTCACTCCCCAGATGGCTGCAACGGCCAGAGCTGTGCCGATCTGAAGCCAGGAGCCAGGAGCTTCTTACAGGTCTCCCATGTGGGTGCAGGGGCCCAAGGACTTGAGCCATCCTCCACTGCTTTCCCAGGTCATAGCAGAGAGTTGGATCGGAAGTGGAGCAGCTGGGACTCGAACCAGCACCCATATGGGATGTCAGCACTGCAGGCAGTGGCCTCACATGCTATGCCACAGCGCCAGCCTTAGATTTATTTTTTACTTATTTGAAAAGCAGAATTAGAACGAGTAGGAGAAACAGAGAGAGAGAGATCTTCCATCTGCTGGTTCACTCCCCAAATGCCCATAACAGCCAGGGTTGGACCAGTCCAAAGCCAAGAGCCAGGAGCTTCTTCCAGGCCTCCCACGTGGATGTAGGGGCCCAAGCACTTGGACAGTCCTCCGCTGCTTTCTCAGGCACATTAGCATGGAGCTGTATGGGAAGTGGAACAGCTGGGACTTGAACTGCTGCCCATATGGGATGCTGGCACTGCAGGAAGTTGCTTAACCCACTATTCCACAGGGTTGGCCCCTTAAAATTTATTATTTGAAAAGCAGAGTAACAAAGAGAGGGAGAGAGATCCTCCATTCGCTAGTTCACTCCCTAAATATCCACAACGGCCAGAGCTGGGCCCATCTGAAGCCAGGAGCCAGGAGCTTCTTCTAGGTCTCCCACATGGGTGCAGGGGCCAAAGGACTTGGGCCATCTTCTACTGCTTTCCCAGGCCACAGCATAAAGCTGGATTGGAAGAGGGGCAGCCGGGACTAGAACCGGCGCCCATATGGGATGCTTGCACTGCAGGTGGCAGCTTTACCCGCTACGCCACAGCGCTAGCATTTATGTAAAAGAGGGAAAGATTCTCATGTGGTGGTTCACTCCCCACTACCTGCAAAAGCCAGGGCTTGGCCAGACCCGAGCCAGGAGCCAAGAACTCAGTTTGGGTCTCTCATGTGTGTGGCAGGGACTCAGCCACTTGAGCCATCACCAGTGTCTCCCAGGAAGCACACTGGCTCATCTGGGACACAAACTCAGGCACGCTGGCATGGAATGTGGGCATCCAAAGTAGCGCATATATAACCTCTAGGCCAAGTGCCCACCCCACACGGTGCTCTTAAACTGTCGAGGAGAGAGGATGAGCGTGTGTGATGGAGGCTCTGAGACTTTCCAGGAAAACAGTGACAGGGATCGCTTTGGTCCTCAGGCTTTGAGCAAAGGGGAAGGTGGAGGGAGAAGAGGCCCTGGGATGATGAGGCCTGCATTCTGCAGCCCGGGCCTCTGCCGGTCAGATCCCTCAGCCTTTCCGAACTCTGGTTTCTCTGCCTGTTACAGAAATAATGTTAATGATGATGATAACAGTACTTGAGAAGATTGCTTTGAGACTTATATGAATCAACAGGAAAATGTCTGCAGTGACACAGCACCGTGCAGCTGTAAAGCGGTCGGTGGTGACCGCCCTGTGCTGACAGTCAGCTCCACTGCCTTGCTGCTGTTTTCCAGAATGTTCAGGTTGGCCGTGTAGTGCGCTGACGAGAGGCTGTAGAGACCCAGCTAGGCAGTGTGACAGTGTTCTTCCTGTTTTCACCCAGGACTGCAGCAGGCCGTGCTCAGCAGGCAAGTGCCATCGGAAGGTCTGGAACCTGTGTTCAGTCCTCGGCTGCCCTATTCTGGGTTTGCAGCTGAAGGTAGAAGTACGCTTGGGGATACAGAGGCCTCTGATCCTCCTCCCCCGTATTCTGATTTTCACCCCAACAATCAAGAAAGTGCTCCGAGCCATTCCCACATGGAGAGGAGCGTCTTTATGCCTCGACCTCAAGCCGTGGGCTCCTCCAATCACGCTTCCACCAGTGCCGGACTGAAGTATCCTGGAAGTGGAGCAGACCTCCCTCCTTCCCAGAGAGCAGCTGGAGACAGTGCTGAGGAATTGGACGACAGTGATTACGAGAATCTGATTGACCCTGCAGAGCCCTCTCATAGCGAATATTCACATTCGAAGGATTCGCAACCCGGGACACATCCCAGTGAGGACCCCAGGAACACTCAGACCTCCCAGATTTAGCTAGACAAAAGACGCTCTCCGTGTAGCACTGCTTCTCTTAATTGTTTGTTGAGAGAGTTGTTTGAGGACTGACTCTGGGGGAGAGCTGCCTTCTCAGATACCTGACTCCCGAGGAGAGCCCTCGCGCACAGAACTCCTAAGCCTCCATCCCTGGTCCTCGCCCTCGGATGCAGTGTGCAGGTTTCACAACAGAATCATTAAGATAATCAAATTGTCCTAATTCTGGTGCGACTCATGGATGTACTGGTAAATTTAGGCAAAGCAAAACTTATCAGCATAGTTTCTGTTCTTTAAAATAAATTGGAAATTAGAGACTAAGCACAATTAGTCTATAAATGTTCTATAAATCAAAAACTTACCTCTTGCACTATCATGCCTTGAAATTTACTTTCTCAAAGGGAAATGAGTTTAGCAGCAGCCTTCAAAGAACTTCTTTCTATGATGAGCCAAATTCATCTTTGCCAGAAAAGAAATTTTGTTAATTCCAAGAAGCCTGATTGGAACAGATCAGATGCACCTTCTCTTATCTGCATGACTTTGTGAGATTGAAAGAGAAGGCTTTGTTTCAACTTTTTCTACTAGCCTGATACGTATTGTCACTTAAAATGGTTGCCTTTTAAAAAAAAATGTAGAAAAACTAATTACCAGTAGGTAATCATCCAAATAAGTATGTCATAAAATAAATAAATGAATTATTTTTCTCTTGGCGGCTGACAGTGACAGCTGTGTTGCATGAGCACACTTGTGGTCTCTTCTGGAGTCGTAGAGGGAGGGCACAGCAGTGCAGAGCAGAGGGAGCTATGGACCAGACCCGAGTCCTACGGCGAGCGGATCCCGGAACGGTGGATTTCGCTGAGCTCATGCTCATTTAGGTCTTCCGACAAATCCTAGTGTTAGCTTTATTTGTGGAGGAGAGACATTTTTGTGTGGGAATCTTGGTGAATAAAGATTCATCTTAAATCTGAATAACCATACTTAAGTTTTTTAAGTTGTCCCTCAGGGGATAATTGTAGAATGTGTAGAGACTGTTGGGATGCACTTATTTTTATTTAATTACTGCTTGTTTTCTAGTTTTGCCCAGAATGTATGAAACCACTCAGAGGGATGTGAGCATGTTGGGCTCCTAGTTTAGAAATGACAGGACCTACTGTGTGTGACAAGGTCAGCCCACGAAGCTAGTCCCTGCTGTGTAACTGCGTTTCCCTAGGACCAGTTAAAACCTGAAAGAATAAGGAGGTCGTTAGAGAGGCTTAAAATCTGGTTCCAGAAACGTAGCTCCATTTTCTAGGATAAACGTTTACTTGCTGAGCGCCACTTCCAACTAAGTGACACGGTATAATATGGACTGAGATGAGATGCTAACACTGCCACTCTTCGATTGCCACTCTCTGGGAGACTGTCTTACCTGCTGTCCCGGTTCTGTTGGCCTTATACCACTGCCGTTTGGTTTGAATCATTGCAGACCCCTTATCTGCAACTGTGTTCCAGTCTTTATCAGCTACCTTCTAGAAGCTTTAGCACCAGTGTGAATTTAATTTTTTTAAGTGCCATTGCCATCTCCTCTGTTCAGATTTTGACATTCAGGAAAATATTTTTATTTTTATGCCATACCAAGATCTACAATGTATACCTGACAAAGCAGTTAAATGTGACAATAAAAACTTATTTA